AGGGGAAGAGAAGAGAAACCGAGCACTAATGTGGGATGATTTCATTAATCCTAAGTCTATAGCGTGATACAGCAGAAACAGTCAACTCTGCTGGCACCTACTTGAACAGATCCTTTCCTCACAATCAAGATTTCAACTCAAGCAGCTGAGAAAGAGGAGAAAAGGAGACAAATCAGATGGGCCGCTGGAAAAGAGGGGTAAACTGGCACTGTCTCCAAAAAACCAGAGCCCTGGCTCACTCTAACAACAACTAAAAGATAAATGGTAGTGTGTAGAAATCAAGTTTATCTCATAGCAGTAAAACTATGAAGACTTCACATACAAACCATGTATCGCTTTCATGGCAGTGTAATATACCTGTACCGCAGTGGCATTGAAAAAAGAACAAAATGAAAGATGAATCAAGATGGTCTAAAGCATCTGATAGCATTGCTGGTCTAAAGCACTGCTCTGATAGCACTACTTGGCTCTTTGTAGGATCCTTGACTCATTTTACCGCAAGAAATCCTCCTTGCTGTCCTATGCTCATGAAGAAGACATGAAATAAGGATCTTGGGTGAAGGAAAACAATCTGCAGCAGCATTCAGATAAGCGATGGGGGGACTATCAGCTCTTTCTCTGTAACAGTTGCAGTCACTCACAAGGCTCTTGCTAGAGGGACAGTAAACCCAAGTGTAGGTTTATCCTAATACTCACAGCTCAAACATGCAGCTTGGAATCTTCTAAGCAAAGGATTTAGTGGTAACAGGGACAGCAAAAAACCCAGGTAAGCAAGGGGGAGAAAGAAAGCTGAGTAGCAGAAGAGGATCCTGTGCTAGGCAAGGATGTACCAAAATTAGCATCAAATATCTACAAATGCAAATAAAATTTTTAAATTTTTTAAGTTTTCCAAAAATTGCAGCTTTACATAAGAGGAATCAGAGGGTGCAAGTGCAGATTCCCTACTCATCTTGTCCCTCCTTTAAGTCATCACCTGCAAAAGCTCCTAACTGGCAAAAATCAGACAAAATTGAGGGCTATCAAACTATTCTGAAGACAGGAGCATTTGGGAGAAAATAGGGAAGACAGACATTTAACTTGCTGCATTCACCATGGTCTAACGGAACACTGAACTCCGAGGACTTGTTCTGCTTAGAGGGGAAAACCCTTGTCCCTGATATCTAGAGAGAGCGAGAGGCCTGGGCTTCCTTCCCTAAGAAGGAACAATACTGGAGAAAGTGGTTCAGGTTCCCCTGTACCTTCATCTGTCCTCTCCCTGTGGGAGGAGTAACTTATCTGATTATATAAGAAAGGCTGATATTTACTGGGCCTTTTCTCTTTGGGGAGAAAATGTTAAAAGTCATTCTCTCTAAAGTCCTACTTTGGCTGCAAGTCATATTCTGCAAGATTTTAAGATGATGAGCATCTTGAACCCAAATTCCACAAGCATCACCCTTTAAACATTTAACAAATAATGAGAGGAAGGTGAGCATGGTTTTGGGATTTACTGCAAGGGACTTGTATTCTAGTAACAGTTGCATGACTAGCTATGACTCTTGGCTGTCATTTACGTTTTAGCCTGAAGTGCAAAATAACAGGGGTTGAGTGTAAGAGTGCATTCTAGTTTTAAACTTCTAGAACTTTTAACAAAACTCCCCCTCAAGAAATTAAATATGATGCTAAAAGCGATGTCGTTCGTTGTACTTCTTGTAACTGGGAAAACCCTTCCTTCCAGGGCAGGCCTTCCCAAAGTGTGGTCTGTGGACCATTTACCAGCTTCCAGAACACATGTTCTAGTGGAAAGAAACCCCTCATGGGGGGAAACGGAGCCACTGTTTAAGTTTGTTTGTTTGTTTGTTTGTTTTTTGACTTGGGCTTTTCTTAACAAGCAACTGAGGTGATTTTTATGATCAGTAAATTTGTTAATTCTAGGGCCATGGTCTTCAAAATCTCATATGCAAACCCCTGGGCATACATCAAGATTTTTTCCATGGGGAAAGCAGACAGGAATATGTATAAGGACATCAGCTTAAAGATCTTCAATTTCCATATGTATTGCCCTAAGATTTATGTGCTCAGATTTAAGGCTTCTTCAGATCTAACATTTTTCTTTACTTATTTTCATTCTCACAACTGCCATACTCCCTATTTCCAAAAGAAAGGCTGACTCATACCCATCTAGAATCTTACTACGGGGCATTGCTCCAGATTGTAAAAAACCTCCAGAGGCATCAAACAAAAGAACAACAATAAAAAAAAAAAAAAAAAACCCAGAATTCTCAAGGGACAATGAGGACAGAGTAAAGCAAAGAGAGCTTCGGTTAAAAATTCTGCACCTCATCTATCTTAGAACTATAATTGAGAAGGTTGTGCCAGAAATGTTAATGCATTTATCTGAATTAAAAATAAAGTCAAACATTTTCTGACTGAAAATGAAATCTGATTCGGCTGGTGAATTTTAATATGAGAACAGGCTTTGCTACTTTATATGACAGGACTTCTCCTATAAATTTAATCAGCTAAATCTACAGCTCCACGGCTTTGAGAAAAATATTTTTAAGGCACATATACAATATATTGGATAGGGTATCCTTTTGTAAGTACTTAAATTTATTTTTAAAATTTAGATGTCACATTAAACATGTGCAAAAGGAAAACTAACTGAGAATGAGAGCCATGAAATGGAGAAGGAACTGCTTGGAAAGGGGCACAAGGGACAGAAACCGTCCCCTTAGAGTAGCTTGTTTTAGGTTGGCTACTCAGATGTCTACAACTCACGAGAAGGGAACACTTTGTTTGCTAATCATACCCCAAGGTGTAAAATGTGCAAAAGGTTATATATAGTTTTTCAAAATTCTTTCAGGGGTATGTTAGCAAAAATGCTCTTGTTTGTCAAGACTTTTCTTTTGGTGTATCTGAATTGTGCGGCCTGATTGCAACCATAAAGTGATCTATAGCATTACACAACTTGACTAATCAAATTACTTATGTTTTTTTCATTGTTAGCTCTAATATTTTTCTAACAGCCACCTTGGATCTTGATGGCTAAGAACACTCCCTAACAGAAAAAAAGAATAGGGAATAAAATTAATTGAAGAAATACTAAATCTTCAAGTAACTGGGTAAGTGAATGAATTAAAGTACTTTTGTCTGTACTGGCAGTTGCTTTCTCCCAGATCCTCATCTTTAAAGAGAGAATGAGGTGATTAACGCCATCTTTTCATATTAATGGGAGTTCCCGCAAATTGATAATCTAGTTCTAAAGAACTCATTCTCAAATTACCTCTAAGTGTAGAAAGAAAAATGTTGTGACGCACAGATGTTTACATAAATAAACAGATGCAGTGAGTTACGGTGAGTGGAGATGCTCAATACTGACATTTTGATACATACCTAGCCTGTTAATATTTCTCTGCAATTCATGGAGTCAGCTATGCTATAAAAACCTTAATAACCAACTGAATCTCTTTCTTGCAAATAGGGCATGAAGCCCCAGCCTTCTTCAATCTTCTGGCACAGTGAAAACAAGTGACAAGATGCCCTGTCCTCCCATGAATAATGTTCCCGTCTCGTGGTCTTTTCTCACACAGACTACATGGCTTCAAGAGATTCTGGCAATCCTCCATGTTTTCTGTATCTGTTCTCTGTTCGAAAAGGTTATCTGATTGTTCTCCCATGCTTGATATGGTTTCCTGGCTTTCAGAACTGTGGGCCAAATCCAAGAATTCCACTGAGTTGCAGGGATCAAAAAGTTTGGGGTTTTTTTCTTCCTTTGTATATACATCTTTAGGTCTAACAACTGGAGCTGATATGGTTCTTCGACAATCAGGGACATCAATTCCTTCATTTTCCTTCTTTTCAGGTATGGCAGTGATATCAGACGTGGAGAGAGAATGGGTTAACTTAGAACAATCCGAATACCAATCCTTCCTCAACGCCCAGCAACGAAAACAGTACCTCTTGCTTGGAGAGTTAAATTTCTTGCACTCAGTACACTGCCACTCATCCTACAACGACAAGTGCGGCCAATTAATACTCATGCAGTGGTGAACACGAAGCTGAGAAAAAGGGAGGGTAGGCCAAATCTCATCATCTCACCAAGCTAGTGAGAGTCTGGACATTCCACATCAGTGGTCTAGCCTCGCATCTGAACACATTCCACAGCCACATGTTAAGAAAGTCTAGAGAAGTTTTACAGTAATAGTGACAAAATCACCATTTCAAGTCAAAATTTGATATAGCTATCTTTAACAAAGTTAAATTCATTATTCTGGCATTTTGTCTAGTCTGGGTGGAATTTACATTGCTTGCTTTTCCCTGCTGCCTTCTTTTTTAGTTCATTTCTCATTGTACAACTTACTCTTTTATTGAGCAAGAGGCTAAAGAATGAAGAAAAGATAACACTTTCATTCCTTCCCACTAATTAAGAAATGTTATAAAATTTGGCAAAAAGGAAGCTAAAATTAAAACGAGGTTTGGGGGCGCCTGGGTGTCTCAGTCGTTAAGCATCTGCCTTGGGCTCAAGTCATGATCCCAGGGTCCTGGGATCAAGCCCCGCATCGGGCTCCCCTCTCAGCGGGAAGCCTGCTTCTCCCTCTCCCACTCCCCCTGCTTGTGTTCCTGCTATCGCTCTCTCTCTGTCAAATAAATAAATAAAATCTTTAAAAAAAATAAAATAATGGGGAGCCTGGGTGGCTCAGTCGTTAAGCATATGCCTTCGGCTCAGGTCATGATCCCAGGGTCCTGGGATCAAGCCCCGCATCAGGCTCCCTGCTCAATGGGAAGCCTGCTTCTCCCTCTTTCTGCCTGTAGTTCCCCCTGCTTGTGCTCTCTCTCTGTCAAATAAATAAATAAATCTTTACCAAAAAAAAAAAAAAACAATGAGGTTTGAAAACTACTATGTTACTCATGCTCTCTCACTGCTCTCAGGATCACAGGTCACTAACTGTTGTATGCCTAAACCCTACCCTCTGAAAAATGAATGTTCTTGCCCTTGGATGCTGGTAACTTTTTTCCAACTTCTCCATATTCAAATTAGGAGATACTAGAGCTCAATGAATTTTAAATGCCTCACTTAATGCAAAGGTAGCTACCTGGAACAAGTCAAGAGTATTTAATGTGGATAATTGCCTGGCTTTGACAGGATCAGTGATTTGACACAGGCAAACTTGATTACTTTCAGAATGAAGGCTGCAGACTTCACGTTTAGAAGGCGTATAACTCAACTGCCTAAGCCAAGAGGCAGGGACACGACCATTTGTTAAACTGGTGGTCTTTAGACAGCGTCAAAACATTCTCGCCAGTTTAAGATCCTAGATCTCATCTCATCTACTTCATGCAATACAGAATCTCCAAGGCACTTCATAAAGACTTGGAATTTATAACTGATGGTGTGTCATAGTCTAATTGGCATCATTTTTTCTTTTTTAGTAGTACATAAATAGGGCTTATTAAATTAAATGGCATCTTTGATTTGATGAAATACAGTCTATTTGCTTAATAGGTTATCTGGGCCCAAGTAGCCACAGAAGTCTGATTAAGATGGAAACACTTATCTCTATTTGTATTATGGTCAAGAACACTTAATGGACCAATATATTCCACTTTATTACTTAGCTACGCACAGACAGATAATTTACAACGCATTACCATTATGGTCAACAGTGGCAGGCTGGGTGTTGGGGGAGGATCAACACCAGAGACAACCTACAACTTTTCTATCCCCAAGCAGCAAACTGTAAAATCCCCTCCCTTCTCCTTCCCCCACCACCATTCCCAGCAAGTGAGCCAAGGGAAGTGCTAAAAGGAAAATGGGGAACTAGCATGAAAAGAGAAAAGCAAGGTGTATGTCTGAATCTAAACCTCGGCTGTCACATCTGGTGACAAATCCACACCTAATACCCAATAGCTTAATACTACATCTTCATTTACTAGCCCTCCATTAATGTAAACCTGTGTGGAAATTAAGCCATTTCCCACTGGTTTGTTTTTAAGAAAGCAGTGAAAATATGATTTTACCCTTGACAAAGATTTTTAGATAGCTTACAGGTCTATCCTTAGGATTATGGAGGACTGTTTAGTGGGGAAAGTAGTATAAGACTATTTTAAATAACTCTGTGTATCCACTGCATCACGTCCAAAGAATTTTTTGTTAGCAGGGAGAAAGGTATACAGACAGGCATTTAAGTCACCCCTTTCAAGGTGGGGAGAGGATTAGGTCAACTCATCCTCCTCTTCTCCAAATTCCAATAAAAACCTCTAACAAGATATAAAGCAGCCAATATGTCTTAACACCAAGGAAAGCAAGATAGAAACGGGGGAAATGGCCTTCTTCAACACAAGTGCATTGCTGGAACGTTCACACTGGAAGATGCAGGTGGTACAAAACAGCTTTTTTACTAGCTACTCATACCTCGGAGGTAACTTCTACATCAGTATCGTCACTTAGGGACTTAGAGTCCTCAAGGTCATCATTTTTTCCCACTTCAACCACCTGCGAGGGCAAAGACATCTCATTAGTAAGGTTTACCTAGTTTAGATGAGGCTATAACCTGAGAGCAAAAAAGACAGAAGAGCTTCAATTTAGAGCCCAAATTCTGCCTCCATCACTAGCACTTGAAAAGAAAATGACCAGGGGCGCCTGGGTGGCTCAGTCGTTAAGCGTCTGCCTTCGGCTCAGGTCATGATCCCAGAGTCCTGGGATCGAGCCCATCGGGCTCCCTGCTCTGCGGGAAGCCTGCTTCTCCCTCTCCCACTCCCCCTGCTCGTATTCCCTCTCTCGCTGTGTCTCTCTCTGTTGAGTAAATAAAATCTTTAAAAAAAAAGAAAGAAAGAAAATGGCTTACATGACTCTGTGCACACCCGGCTGGCAGCTCAATAGAAGAAATGACTGAAAAGTGCCCAGAAGGCTCACCAAATACAAGAGGGCACCCATATGTATGACTTTAAAGAAAATAAACAGTAGCAGAGTAAAAACGCTACAAATCATTAAATGTGGAAATTTTTTATCTTGAGAATTTAGGCAGGCATTCACAAGAATAAGGACTGCATGAAAAAATGAAGTGAAAAGCACTAAGTAAAATAAGGAACGGAGATGTGAAGAATGAAAAATATTTTATGAAAAGTAAATTTCGTATCCAAAAGTACAACTAGTTATGTGATACTCTGGTTGTCCCATAAAAATATGCCCATTGGGGCGCCTGGGCGGCTCAGTCAGTTAAGTGTCTGCCTTCGGCTCAGGTCATGATCCCAGGTCCTGGAATCAAGTCCCGCGTCAGGCTCCTTGCTTGGCGGGGAGTCTGCTTCTGCCTCTTGCCCCTCACCCTGGTCGTGCTCTCTCTCTCTCAAATAAATAAATAAATCTTTTTTTTTTTTTTTTAAGATTTTATTTATTTATTTGACAGAGAGAGACACAGTGAGAGAGGGAACACAAGCAGAGGGGAGTGAGAGAGGGAGAAGGAGGCTTCCCGCCAAGCAGGGAGCCTGATGCGGGGCTCGATCCCAGGACCCTGGGATCATGACCTGAGCCGAAGGCAGCTGCTTAATGACTGAGCCACTCAGGCACCCCAATAAATAAATAAATCTTAAAAAAAAAAAAAACATGCCCGTGGACCAGGAAACAGAAAGTGAAGAAATTTGGGAAGTGTCTTCTAAATTTTCTAATTCAGAATTTAAAATTCTAAAAATTAAAACCCTATTTTGTGATCTAGTAAATGGAATAAAATCAATTATGATAGAATTAGGAACCTCAGTATGTCAACTTTCTCACACAAGTTCAAGTATTTTAAGTTCCATCTCTCTCAATGGAATTTTCCAAATGTCACCTTTGTCTTCATTCCAGCCACTTGGAGTCCCTTCTAATGCTACCCATACAACTAGTCTAGGAGGACCCAAGCATTGATCTGCCTATAAACATACCAAGATATCCTTCAGGAACCCAAATTATTATGAAAATCCCTCAAATTAAAAAGATGACCCTATTTAGATCAGTGTTTTGTTATATTTACTCAATAGATGTTTACTGAGAATCTTGTCAATGTCGGGCATTGGATCTGCTATCCAATCTCTTTTGAGACTTGAGCACATGCTTATATGACTTTTAGTGTGCTCACACTGTGTGTATTCAGAGTTCTAACTCTCTTCTTTCCCCTTATTTAAACTCTAACTTATGTAAGAAAAACTCACCTGTCTATTCCCATTTAGATATGAGTGACTGTGGAAGACACTGAGATGTCCAAGAAGTAAGAATTTTTTTCCCTACAGGCTGCCACAGCCACTTTGAACTTTGCCTTGTTAGCAAAGCAAGGTCTCCAGAAGCAAAAACTCCACAGTGAGAGATTAGACAAGGAGGAAGGGACAGCTTCTTGCTTCTAAGGAAGGAGGAGTTTTACCCATGCAGTACTATCCTATTTTTAAGATAGTGTTGGTTAACTTAATGTGAACCTAAAAACCGGATACAGGAAAACAATAAAAGTAAAAGGGGGAATTATGTAAGTCATCTGTGATACAAAGGGTCAGGACACCAGATCTAACAGATTATACTATGTGCACATAAATACAACCAACGTGAAATTTTTCCAAACATACCTTTTTGTCTCTTACTTTTCCTACTTCTTCACTTGTTTGTTCAGTGTCTGCAGCTTCAACTTTTATTCCCACACCAAACTGCTCTGATACAGACTCATTCAAAAACCACAAATCATCTGTGGTGTCTGAAACAATGGCAGTACCTACATCCTAATAGAAAAAAACAAATGTGAGTTTTTGTAGTCAGAGGCTTATCAGTGACATTGAACCAACAGAAATGAACCCAAAACTCAATATCCTCACATACCTCCAAAGAACACCTAGCCTTTCTTCGGTGGACATCTATTCATTCAACAGATAATTACTTGGCACCTAACTATGTATAAACTAATGAATGGATATAGGGAGGCTGGCAAGGAATTTTCTATTTTAACAGTAAATCAGGTATAAGACCTGAGAAATAGTACTGAAAAGCTTAAAAGCTAAAGACATGAGTTGCTCAATTAAACAGAACCCGTTCCCTAAATTTCCTTTCCAAAGGTGACACCCCGAGAACCTAGAAAACATTCTATTAACTGTGATATATTATTTCCTTTATGGTCAATAATGTTTACTGAAGGACACCTGGGTGGCTCAGTCAATTAAGCATCCAACTCTTGAATTCGGCTCAGGTCATGATCTCAAGGTCATGAGATTGAGCCCCATGTCAGACTCTGTACTCAGCACAGAGTCTGCTTGAGATCTCTCTCTCCCTCTCCCTCTGCTCGCTCTTTCTAAACAAATAAATAACATCTTTAAAAAAACAATAATGTTTATTGAAATATAAGAAATACTGATGGTAACTCAAATCTTCTGTCCTCTTTCTGAATTCCTAAACGACTTTAAATATAACCTTCTTTCTGCATTCATCTATGGATATTTTTTTTAAGATTTTATTTATTTATTGGACAGAGAGAGACACAGCGAGAGAGGGAACATGAGCAGGGAGCCCAATGTGGGGCTCGATCCCAGAACCCTGGGATCATGACCTGAGCCGAAGGCAGACGCTTAACGACAGAGCCACCCAGGCACCCCGCATCTATGGGTATTTTATGACATGCTTTTCTATACTATTCCTAAGAGAAAACTTATTATTTTGCCACTATTCTATATCCATTCATTTACTGAGCAAATACTCACTGAATTCCTATTACGTGTCAGATACTGTTCTAGGTACTAGGTAAGAGAATAAAGTGATGAATAATGTGAAAGCCCTGGGCTTTCATTTCAGTAGGAGTAAATAGGCAATAGATACATAAACAAAATAACAGTTTTTCAAAGTGAGAAGTGCAAGAGAATATAAAATAAGATAAAAGAACAGAATGCTTATGGTTTGAATTAGGGTGTAACACCGGAAGTAATAAAAGTCGTTAGATTTTGGATGTTTTGGATAAAGAACTGATAACCTGCATGTGGCATATGACAGATACAGAAATCGATGCTATCGCTTTAGATCTGGCTGGAATAACTGGATAGAAGGTAGATTTGTGAAAAAGGAAAGGCCGTAAAGGAATGTTTAGAAAAAATTAAAAATAAAATCAAGAGCTCTGGTTTGAACATGTTAAATGTCAGATCATCTAAGTGGAGGTGTGGAGTAGGCAGCTGAATATAGAAGCTGGGCATTTAGAAAAGAGGTCAAGGCTGCAGATACGGATTTGAGCAGCAGATGCACACAGATGGTACTTAAAGTCATAGTGCTGAATGAGAATTCTTACAGAATGCAATGTGTGGTCAAGAGTAACCAAGAATGTTACTCTTTCAAAAAAAAAAAAAAAAAAAGAATGCAATGTGTGGTCAAGAGTAACCAAGAATGTTACTCTTTCAAAAAAAAAAAAAACAAAAAACCAGAAAGTTCCTCTTCAAATGTGACATTTACCTGATTTGTCTGTAAATCAGTCGAGCCATTACTTCTAGGTGTATAGTTGCTCCTCAGGTTTCCTAAAAACCACCAAGGCAGCCCAGCTACATCCCACTCCTCAAACCCAAGGTCCAGCTTAGATGTCTCATCTTGGGTTAAGTTTTTTATGAGGTCTTCATCTACAGCAGTCAAATGGAAAGGACAGTAACTACGTACACAACACTAAGAATCAAAACTCGCTTTGTAACATTACAATCTCTTTATAAGACAGGTAAAAAGAAATTTCCACAGCCAGTATGAAAGAAACAGAAATCAAATATCTCAGTCACAGAGCCCAGACCTCCTCTCAAATTTAGGCCTCATTCATTAGCAAGTAACGACACTAGAAGCAGATGATCATTTATCAAGCAATCTAAACTCTGAAAACATCCAAACAATGACATGGTTCTAGGAGGATTTCGAAATGGTTATTTACTGCCATGTTATACATTCACACCATGGCATTAACTAAAGAAAAGACTTGCTCTCGTACATGATGCCCGATAATGGCCTGATCCATGAACTGCAAATGGTGGCGGCAGAGCGGCCAAACCTGAAGACAGAAGCAAGGCAGTCCAGACTGAATGGGCATCCACAAGGTTGTCAAGGCAGTCTCACTGCTACGTATTTAGGGATGTTTCTCACGAATTCATATTTGGATAGCTAACAACCATTATAAAACACTGAACTCTAGGTTGTCTAAGTAAATCTATACCTATGTCCTTTCTGGATCAATGGGCTCTCTTTTGGAGTTTCTAGATCTCTAAGACCTAGAAATCTTGCAAACCCAAAACATAAGAAGGCACCACATATTCCAAGTAAAAGATCTTGTGTTGTATATCCAAATGACATTCAAGATGATTACTAACATAAGTCTGGTGCTACCACAACATCCCATCATCCAATCTTTTGTTGTGCTATTCTCTTTCCCCACTTCCTCACTCTCCTCTACCTCTTCCCAATGCACCAGCCACACCGATAGCAACCACAGGTGCTTAAATGTGTTGAGGTACACGTGCTCGAAAACTTGCAATACATGGGTCCCTGTCAGAACAAAAGATTACCTTATCTACTTACAAATTATGTTGAACGCTGCCCATTAAGTTCAGGGGAAGTTCAGCTTTTTACTTACTCATTACTACAATTATCGAAACCCCAATTCCTGAGATGATGCCATATTAAAGTTATCCTCGTCTCTTCAAGCTCTCTAACATCTTGTAAAGGGAACAGAAGTATCCTTCCCATGTATACAAAGTCTGTCCTTTCTACCTACACACTTTCCTGAAAATACTAAGCTCTTTATTCTCAAAATTTACAGCACAAACTAAATACGGTCTCTTGAATAGGCTATTCTTGTATTTCTGAGCAGCAAACAAGCAAGGACCTGCATTTAAAGAAGAAATTACACATTTAATACCGTACAGACTGAAATAAACTCCAAGGTGACTAGGTAGCTCAAAATTCGGTTGCATGATAAACTGATTCAATTTTAAACATTTGAGACAATTACAGCAGCATCACTCTCTGAGCTATTGCTGGAGGTCTAACCTGCCATTGCTCCGAGTGTGAGCCAGTACCGAAACTAGAAATTATCATGCTGTAAAATACCTGAGTAATTTATGATTTTATATGCCTGTATAGAAAAAATTTTAGGAGATACTTTATAAAGCAGAGCTTGGGGAAAACTTTCAAAATATCGATTAACTCATTTAACCTGACCACAGCATATCCAGTATGGATGGCCAAGACCTGAGAACTATCATCCAAGAGCAAAGGAACTACTAGGCCTCTGACGTCTCATTCTTGGCTCTGACAGACTAAGTATGCATCATCTTTGCAAACTTTAAAACTCTACAAAATTAGCCTTTGCCTCAAGCAGACAAATCAAAATAAAAATCCTAACCAGACTGAATATATACAGGTATGTCAATATTTAAAAGGCCAAGGCAGGTGATTTACTAGGTGGCAAACTGATAAATCTGTAGCGAGCTTCTATTAGCATGCCAGCCAAAGGACAGGTCTTGCTCCATCCCAGTAAACACAGGTTGCTAAAAGAGCACTACCACCTTCTTCAAAGTTAACAATGGTCACTAGGGTAAAGAAAAAGTTTTTAGAAAAGAATGAGAAGTAAGTATGACATATGCCCCTCCTACTTCATATGCAAAGAAAGTGCATTATTATTTTTTGAGTTGTCTACAGAAGGGTCTCAATTACAGCCAGTGCTTAATGTGAATAAATGTCATTTCTAGAAGTTATCAACAAAAGAAAGAAAAAAAAATGTATAGCCTTAATCCAAAACTTACCTTCTCTAGAATTTCTGCATTTATGTTGTGAGGTAGGCAGTGTAGGAATATTGCCTTCTTCCATTCTTTTCCTGGAACTGGAACTTTCTTCTGCACTTTGCTGAAAAAAAAGGGAAAGATGTCTATTAGTGCAGTAAAAATGACTGAGACCAGGGGATGTAGCAGTTCCATTCTGGCTCACCAGTTAGTGTGCGGCACAATGGGTTACGCACAAGAAAGAGATCTCTGAAGTTCACAACAGTCATCACAAATAAAGGCAACATCTCTCCTTAACCCACTGGGAGCAGAGCTAAGAGAATCCCAAACCTGGGGGGGAAAAAAAAATCTCTGCACAAAAGGCCAAAATCTACTGTTAAAAACAGGCTATCAATGTAAAGCCTCTATACTACAAAATTAGGCATAATTCAGAAAACATGTGAAACCCTCAGCATATACCAAGATGATCATAAAGTTTTCCCAGGTCTGGAGAAGATTTAAGAATGGCCTGACATGAACTTAAATGCAAAAAGCCTGTTAAAATCTAATAAAGCAGTTTTCTCAAACACCTATATACATACACCATCACACATACAGGCATACACAAACCCCAAAGAAAATGCAACTGGAGGAACTGAAGATCAGAAGTGCTACATCCCAAAGAAAGATTCAGAGACTGGAACTCTGTTATGGGCAGAACAGAGAAGTTTCACTCTGTCCCTGGTCTGTGAACTCCCAAGAACCTTTCTTATTAAATTCTTACCACATTCAGAGAAAGGTCTTGGGAGTCCAAGATCCATAGGTACAGAGAAGGGGCCACTCTGTACAACAAAAGAAGTCACCGTGTGGTGATTTTACCTTCAGTTGGTCTTGACTTGGAATATCCATACTGTGATCCTGTGCGAGAGCGAGAGTCTGAGCGGCATCTGGATAGCAAGTAAAACAAAAGGAAAACCTTCCCTGGTAATAACCATTCTTTCCACATAAAAAGGACCTCAGCAAACAACCCTGGAGCCAGGTTTGCTCCCTAAAAATGTACTTCTCCGTGTTGGCTGGACAAGGCTCTCATCCAAAAGGGAAAAATCAAAACTGATAAAAATGGCAAAGACCAAGACAGGCTATATTCAAAATGTATTACCAAAATGTAATCTGGGAGAAAATGAAAAATAACTAAAAAATGTTCATGGCAAACTTTCAAATTTTAATATGAAAGTGATTCCAACCAAGAAATAATGAAGAGTATCTTTTATTATCTCTTCCCACAGGTTTTTTATTATTCAATCTGCCTAACTTGTAAACAACAGCAAAAAAAGTTTGGCCTTTAATTTTTATTTTCAACTGTTAAAAGTTATACAGGGTTATGAAATCTGAAAATCTGGAATTCTCCCCACTTCCTTCATCACACAATAGCACCTCATGGAAACTTATATTCTAAAGTGTCAATGATGATTTCCTGGCTTAAACTCCCATAACCTGAATATAGAGTAGGTGTTTTTAATTAACAAGTTTTATTTTTCCCAGTTACTATAAACATTTCCTAAGAAGGAAGGGAGAGCAGATAAAGTTTTTCTCAAAGTCAATGAAAAGCAAGGAAAACAATAACCTGACAGAAATTCTTAGATAGTCTGAGAGAAATATATTTCGAGGACTTGGAAACTTTTCAAGCAGAACAGAAGATGAAAACTGAACTACAGGAAAACGACAAACTGCAGAGAATTTAGTAACCTAGACTGCTCATTATATGAGGTTATATGTAACTGAAATGTTCCCAAATAAGTCTACCAAGGGTTGGGTTCATTAGCTACTATCAGGTCCAGAGATAAGACACTTAAGGAAAACCTCATCCTCACGTAATAAAGACTGCCAGAGAAAAGAATACGGATCCTACAACTGGTCTGATAATTCAGTTGTTTTGCACAAAGCAAACAATTTCAAAATTGTAATTATAAAGAGCATGACTTCTACAAGCATTTTTATAGGTAAATAGAGAATACTGAGTTTAAGAGACAGCATTTTCTGACCGCAGTGATCTTCAAAGATCAACTAAAGAGACAATGCAGATAAAGCATTTCTTTAATAAAGCAACTTGCTTACTGTCATTTATAGTTCTAACACCTTACTATCTTCCTTAGGTTAAAACATTTAGAAGCAGGGGCGCCTGGGTGGCTCAGCCCACTGGGCATCTGCCTTCAGCTCAGGTCATGATCTCAAGGTCCTAGGACTGAGCCCCATGTCAGGCTCCCTGCTCAGCGGAGAGTTTGCTTCTCCCTCTCCTCCTGCCCCTCCCCCACTCGTGCGCTCAAGCTCTCTCTCTCTCTCTCACACTCTCAAATAAATAAATAAGATCTTGAAAAAAATAAAACGTTTAGAAGCAAAAAAATTATCTGGGAAAACCACAATGTACAAAGGAATTTTAAAATAAAGTTTGTCATATATATTTCATTTTGTTGGTATACATGTGGAGATTTGGACAAATGATTCATAAAGAACCACCTTTACCTTAAACAATGATATTTTCTCAACTATCAAAATAAAAGGTTTAACTCACTTGCAAAGGTGTACAACAGATGATACAGAAAACATTTTTCTCATTTGTCCTTTTAAATAAAACACATGCAATCCAATTTATTCAGATCAACAGAAATAACCAACTACAGGCACCAATGCAAGTGCAAGTCGAGAGCAGACAATCATAATTACTTTGGGGCAATATTCTGGTTTTGAATATTGCACTATGGTTATATGTTAGTTACCATTTGGGGAATCTGGGTAAAGAATATTTGGAACTCTTTATTATACTTTTACTACTTTTTTGTAACTAAAATTATTTCAAAGTGACAAGTTTAAGAACAAACAAAATGTCTTAAAGATTTAATGTTCAGAGAGAAAAAAGTGTTCAAAAAATTGGGGCAAATTCTGTTATGACATCAATGTGTAGCACAATGAAAAGAGCAAGAACCAGTCAGTCAGAAATATCTGTTCTACCAATTATCAGTGGCAACTAATCTTGGACAAATCACTCATTCTATTAAAAAAGCAAAAAACAAAAACAAAACAAAAAACCCCTCCGTTTCATCATCTCCAGACCTTCCTCACGGGGTTGTTGTGAGGATCAACTGAAATGTTATCAAACTGTTCATTTTAATAGATGGCATGTTAAATGGGGCAAGTGCGAGAGAGAGAGAGAGGAAAAAGTGAGAATTACATCCACTCAAGTTATCCAGAGAACAGATCAATCAGAAAACAAATGCTACTGAAAGAGTAGATCAGCAAATATAAAATCCTCTGTGTATTTCAAGCCTGCAGTGAGTATCCCAGGAAAGCCCTACTATTTCACAAGTGACTGAATTTCAATGAAGCACAATATTATTTGCAAGGCCTTCCCACTCAACAGAAATTTACAGCTGGGTAAAGTGGGCAAGGTGGACAAATGGCTCAATGAAGTCAACAGGCTCCAAAATTCAATGTAAGTCCAAAATCATATTTCAATACAAAAGCACAGTCTCTCTGCTCTCACGTTAAATCATAAATCTTTATTAGGAATGGATTCTTTTCAATTATTTGTTTCACTAAACTATTAAAAGATAACCATTCTGAAAGAATTACAAACTTGGGCTTTCTTTAAAGGATAAGGTTACCTAAAATCTAATTTGAAGTTCACAAAAGGGCTTCACAGAGGAATGGAGAAAAAAAAAGTTTCATTATTTGGAAATGAGTAAAAGACAGGGTTACATTTAAGTTATATCCCGTTGATCTCTAACATATCATACTTCAGATCCCAAAGCAGCCCACTTCCTGCACCTACCTAATAAACTCAAAAGGCAGTATTTAAAATATATGGAATCAAGCAAAGGGTGTTAGACAAATTGGCATTCATATAACAGAAAGCGAAAACCATTAGGTGAAAGGTTCTTGGGGGACCCTAATAACAGATGGATCAGAGTAACACCACATGAGCCCATGGAATCAACATCACTGAAAGAGGGACAAGTGGACCTTACATGACTCAGGTGTGATGCAACAGATGTACAAAGCACCACCTATGACACCTTCTCAGCAAAAAATTTAAACTTGAAACTATTCAAGCATTACTAGTTTACGGAAAATAGAAGAAATAGACAAACACGTTAAACGACATCACAGGAATATAATCTGCAACCTCTAGAATGTGGGAAATTCTATAGGACAAATGATCCATTTCTTCAACAAATAAATGACATAAAAATAAAAGGAGGATTGTTTTATAAAGATACTTAGAGACATATCAACCAAATGCAATGTGTGGACTTTGTCTGGATCTTGATTTCAACAAGCCAAATGTAAAACACATTTCTGGGATGACTCAGGGTAAACTATATATACACTGGCTATTGGATAGTATTATGGAGTTATTATTCACTTTATTATTATTAATTTTGTTGGGTGTAAAAATGACACCGTAGTTATGTTTAAAGGAAAAAGGTCCTTATCTGTTAGAGATTTTAAAAGTATGTCCAGATGAAAAAAATAATAATAAAGTTAAGGGAAAAAAAAAGTATGTCCAGATGAAGCAAATGTGGCAAAATGTTAACAATTACTAAGTCTAAGAGATGGGCATTACACTAATCTATTTTCAGTAAATTTGAAATTTTTCACAGTGAAAAGTTAACATCCCGGTAACATTCTGTATGACAGGTATCCCTCCCAATCATGCCAACACAGCATTTCATTTCCATCTTGATCCTCCTTGTTTTCCCATCATTTGCCCCCTTGAGCTCAAAGCTGTGATACAGTCTGAGGAAATAGGATGTGACGTACCTGTAGTAGCAGAGGCTAAAGTGACAAGATTCTTTCTTAGCATATCATAGAGAGGGCTGTCAGAGAGAAAAAAAAAATATGAATAACCTCATGGTTTTCCATTAAAATATTACATGTCTGATACGTGATCTTCCAACTTTCTCTATAACACATGGAGAAGCAGAATGTTTTCCCCAGAATAGATTTGTTTGTAATTATTTAAATGTCAAGATATTCATGTCCAAGTGCTTGTGTTACTCTGCCCCCATTAAGAAACTAATTAATTTACATTTTATTTAATTAGCTAACAGTAACACAAGATTTCCTTTGGAGACCATTCCTTCCCACTAGGAATTAAGTTTTACAATTTTAATTGAGGAAGGGGTGGAAGGGAGTCTTACCAAAGTAAGACAAAATGAGCTCAGAAGAAACAGTCATCACAAAGCTATAGAAAGAAAACACTGGCTTCTCAATTACTAATTAGCTTTTGACTCTATAACAACCATATACACCCCATGCAGCTGGAGAAAAATCACACAACAGGTCAGAGAAGCTCTACTGTGATTCTTTTTTTCTTTTTTTTTTAAGAGAGAGAATGAGTGGGGTTAGGGGAAGAGGGAGAAGCAGACTCCCTGAACAGCAGGGAGCCTGACATCCGGCTCAATCCCAGGACTCTGAGATCATGACCTGAGCTGAAGGCAGACGCCCAACCAACTGAGCCACCCAGGTGCCCCTCTACTGTGATTCTTATGAAGCCCATCATTCGACCTCAAACTGCCCAGCAATGCTACATTTCTCTAATCAGCTCACTCTTCCTCTCTGTAACAGCTGCTTCACAAAATTCTATCCTAGCCACATCAAGCTCCTCCTACCCAGGCGCTTGCACATGAATTCAATCTGCCAGAAGCTCTCCAACACTCTCCTGGAGCACCTCTCTCTCCTCACTTACCCTGCAGCTCTCCACTCAAATAGCACTTCCTCAAGGAACTGTACCTTGACCCCTAAGACCCTAAATCCCACCCCCAACACAGCTTTATGTACCTCTTGTCTGTAACACCCACGGTATAATTTTACCATGTGCTGGTGTGATAACCTGATTAAGATGGAGAAGAGCATCTACTGTCTCACTGCTCTTTAAGCTCCGCAGAATATGAGACTGTTGCTCACTAACACGTTCTCAGGGCCTCAAAGGTTACCTGACATATGTAGGCCCTTAAATATTGATTGACTAAAGGAATAGATAACCATTAATATCCTATGGAGACTGAGTGATGAGATATAAGCACCCAAAAAGATAAACAAACCCTCACTCTTCTTACCTTGGATCTTTCACGGAGAAGCTCTGACGTCCTAGCAGTTCTCCCAAAAGATCTCCACCACAATACACCATATGCTGCTCCTGCTGATCATAAAGCTGCTTCACCATTATATACTGGCCTAGATAGTGCATGACCTGCAGGGCAATAAAACAGTATAAAGAGGTCTGTCCAACAGCTCCAAAGAACACAAATTAATTACGGTAAGATAAGGGAAGTTAGTTTGTTAGAAAAAGAGAAAACACATATGAGCATGACTGTCAGTGCTTGTGTAAGGAGTCCTACAACAAGATGGCTGTCCCCAACTACTAGGTTCATCCATTTATTATCATGCTGGATATCAAGAGACTTATCTTTTAGAATAGAGATGCAGTGGTCTGACAATGAGAACAAGTGTTGAATTTACCTAGTATCCCCTTAAAAATTTTCTCACCAGTCCAAATAAAGAGGTCTGTTCTATGACTAGAAGTAATAAACTTTAAATGTGCCTGGGTCTTGGGCGCCTGGGTGGCTCAGTTGGTTAAGTGACTGCCTTTGTCTCAGGTCATGATCCTGGAGTCCTGGGATCGAGTCCCACATCAGGCTTCCTGCTCAGCGGGGAGTCTGCTTCTCCCTCTGACCCTCTTCCCTCTCGTGCTTTCTATCTCTCATTCTCTCTCTCTCTCAAATAAATAAATAAAATCTTAAAAAAATAAAAATTAAAATAAAAATTAAAATTAAAAATTAAAAAAAAAATAAATGTGCCTGGGTCTTAAAAATATTTTCCAAGTCCAGGGACACATAACTATAAGATGCTTTTGACGCATATTCACTTAATTCTTTTTTGGTAAATGAACTACAATGGTTAATAAGCCATCAGCACTGTAAGTGCATAAAACATAGAATCTAGTATGTACCAAATAAAAATTTACCTGGCTTTTTTCAGAGTTCACAAAAATGGAAGGAACTCAAACAAGTTCATGATTCAAAAGTTTTAAATTATCTATTTTTTCCTAATGTTTTCTCTATGCAGATTTTTTTAAAAGGCTTAATAATTAAGTTCACTTAATGACAGTCAGAACTTTGTTGTCATAGATCACAAGCAGATCAAAGCAGCTATCTTTATTCTTAGGCCCCAACTTCTCAGGAATTATTAGATATCTGCACAGAAGATTTTTCCAACACTGTTCCCATTACATTGGTACAATAATGCTCCTAAGCTCCCCTCTATACCAAGCAACATTTCATCCCAGATAATCAAATATCTAGGGGGAAATAAGATGGGGAACAGCATCCACTGGAAGAAAAAGGAGGAAGTTTTATATTTATATCTGTCCAACTTCCAGAAGAAATAAATTCACTCTAAGTATACAAAATAAGATCTTCGGGGCCCCTGGGTGGCTCAGTTGGTTAAGCAGCTGCCTTCGGCTCAGGTCATAATCCCAGGGTTCTGGGATCGAGTCCCGCATCGGGCTTCTTGCTCAGCAGAGCCTGCTTCTCCCTCTCCCTCTGCCTGCCTGCCACTCCCCCGCTTGTGCTCTATCTCCCTCTCTCTGTGTCAAATAAATAAATAAAATCTTTAAAAAAAAAAAAAGATCTTCTAAGACAGTATAGATCATCTACCCTATAAATGTGTACATAATTGTTTGCAGCCACTGCCGCACCATCAGAATCTCTAGCTCCCGGAGCTCCAGCTGAAGGAGAAGGGGGAGTAAGTAAGGTCTCTATACTATGGCTTGTACAAAGCAGACCACTCGCAAATCAACCAGTGGTAAAGCTCTGAGGAAGCGACTGACTACAAAAAGCCACTTGCAAGAGTGTGCCCTCTTCTGGAGGGGTGAAGAAACCTCATCATTACAGCCCGGGTACCGTTGCACTCCGTGAAATTGGACGTTATCAGAAGTCCACTGAACTTCTGATTCCCAAACTTCCTTTCCAACATCTGGTGCGAAAAACTGCTCAGGACTTCAAAAGAGATCTGTGCTTCAGTGAAGCTACTGATGCTTTGCAGGAGGCAAGTGAGGCCTGTCTGATGGGCCTTTTTAAAGATGCCAAACTGTTTGCCATCCATACCAAACATGTAACAATTATGCCAAAAGACATCTATCCAGCTAGCATGCCACACACGGAGAATGTGCTTAAGAATCCGCTATGATGGAAAACATTTCATTCTTTTAAAAAAATTCTTCTTCCTGTTGGTAGTTCTGAACATTAGATATTTTTTTCCCATGGGGTCAAAAAGTAACTAAGTATATGATTACAAGTGGAAAAATAGGGGACAGAAATCAGGTATTGGCAGTTTTTCCATTTTCATTCATGTGTGAGTTTTTTAATATAAATGAGGGGATCTAAGGCATCAATGCAAGTCAAAACGTTTCAGTGAACAAGTCTCAGCAGTTCAACTTCACAACAATTATAAATAAACCCATTATATTTTTCTGGACAATTTGGATTTTTTTTATTTTTTTTTTAGATTTTATTCATTTATTTGAGAGAGAGAGAGAGCTCGTGCGCGAGAGAAAGCACAAGCAGGAGAGTGGCAGAGGGAGACGGAGAAACAGACTCCCCACTGAGTGCAGAGCCTGAGGCAGGGCTTGATCCCAGGACCCTGCGATCAAGACCTGAGCCTGAGCCGAAGGCAGAGCCTTAACCAACTGAGCCACCCAGGTGCCCTGGATTTTTTTTTTAAACAAGTAAATTTCTAGGGCCCCTGGGTGGCTCAGTCATTAAGGGTCTGCCTTCGGCTCAGGTCATGGTCCCAGGGTCCTGGGATCGAGCCCCGCATTGGACTCCCTGCTCGGCAGGAAGCCTGCTTCTCCTCTCCTGCTCCCCCTGCTTGTGTTCCCTCTCTTGCTGTCAAATAAATTAATTAATACTTTAAAAAATAATAATAATAAAAATAAAATAAACAAGTAAATTTCTTACTGACAGTAACTGTATGGTGTTGGTAGCATTTTTATCATATGGGGTAGATCCATCCATTCACTATATTTTTCTGAGTTGTCCTACATGCAAGTACATGTTTTTAATGTTGTCTGTCTTCTGTGCTGTTCCTGTAAGTTTACTATTAAAATGCATTAAAAAGGGCACCTGGGTGGCAGTCAGTTAAGCATCCAACTCTTGGTTTTGGCTCAGGTTGTGAGACAAGCCCTACACTGGACTCCGTGCTCAGCACAGAGTGCTTAACGCTCTCTCTCCTTCCCCCTTTGCCCCCTCCCACCTACCTGCATGCTCACCTGCACGCTCTAATAAATAAATCAATCTAAATAAATAAATAACGCATTAAACTAGGAGCATCTGGCTGGCTCAATCAGTAAAGCCTGCAACCCTTGATCTCGGGGTTGTGAGCTCAAGCCCCACACTGGGTGTACAGATTATTTAAAAATCAAATCTTAAAAGAATAATAAAATAAAAATAAATGCATTAAACTAAAAAAATAAAAAATTAATAATGTGTACATAATTACTACTATTATATCATACTGCCTCAATGCACATATTGAGAACCAGTATTTAAAAATAAAAAATTAAATTCTTTATGCACCAGATAGGGTCAAAATTCATAATAGAGAGCTTCATGTAAACGGACTCTAATTTTTTCCCCAGTAAAACATTCTCTCTGACCAATATGTACTTAATTTCTTCTTAACCCAGGAAAACTCTACCATGCGATTGAAGGAGATAGCGTAATTCATTGTAACAACCTTATTGATAGAAAATTCCATACTTCAGGGCAGCTGGGTGGCTCAGTTGGTTAAGCACCAACTCTTGGTTTGGGCTCAGGTCATGATCTCATGGGTCCTCAGATCATCGAGCTCAATGCTGGGCCCCCACATTCAGCACCCACACTCAGCATGGAGGCTGCTTGAAAACTCTCTCCTTAGCATCCTTTAGATGCTAAATAAGTTATTTAAATGCATAAGTGTTTGAAATAACTCACAGTGCTCAGAAGAGTATTGGACACATTTATAATGAAAAACTACTGCATTTAATTCCTGCCTGGCAGTACATCCTATAAATCATAGACAGTGTCATTTTTTTAATCTTGTACACGCTTTGCATTTTAACTCTGAGATCAATGAATTAACGGTTAATTTTATGTTTGGCTGACAACATACTTCAAAAGGATATTTAAAGGAAATATGAAGTTCAATTTAGCTCAATGGTCTTTAAAACAAAGCAAAAGTTGCCTCTCTAGTACCTCAGACAGAATTTCCTTTCTTGGGCCTGATTTCAGAACTATATATTCATCAGCTTCTACTTTTTTATTTTCATCAGCTTCTACTTCTCAGCTGTTCTTACTGAGAATTCTCTTTGATGGCTTACCTCTTTAACAGTGAACATTTCACCTTGTGCACCTGCTGCCTGCAAAATCTTCAAAAGTGGCTGTTTTGGTCGTACCTGATATAAACATAAAATAAACCTGCTATTTACATTCCAACTAGATTGGTTTCTGAAACCCTAGGGAACAAGAAAACCTTTTTTTTTTTTTTTTTAACAAACCCTGGTAGATACTTATCATCTAATAACATACAATCTTCCAATACATACAATCATAGCAGATAATTAGACTACTACTTGTCACCTCTCTGAAAAATCACATTTTCAAAAGACAGCTACTAGGATGGCCATAATAAAAAGAAAAAAGGAAACAAAAGTAAGTATTGGCAAGCGTGTGGAGAAGTTGGAACCCTTGTGTACTGCTGGTGGGAAGATAAAATAGTTCAGCTGCTATGGAAAACAGTTTGGCAGTTCCTCAAAAAGTTAAACACAGAATTACCATACGACCCAGCAGTTCCATTCCTAGGTATATACCCAAAAAAACTGAAAGTAGAACTCAAACAAGTATTTGTACACCAGTGTTCACAGGAGCATTATTCACAATAGCTAAAAGATGGAAACAACCCAAATAGCACCGACAGGTGAGCAGATAAACCAGATGTGGTATAAACACACATGGGATAGTGACTCTGACATTTCTTGACTCTGTGGAGTCTGTCTTTAGCCACACAATTTTATCTTTAAAATTTTTATGGTCAAAGTTGTCTCTCTCTTCCTCTTACAACCTCTTTGGTTTTGTCTTATTTAAGGCCCCCTTCATCCTACAGTTTCACAAGCATTTCCTAAATTTTTTCTAATATTATTTCCCTTTTTACATTTAAATCTTCATCTATCTGGAATTTGTTTTTGTACAAAGTTTGAGGTCTTCATTTGTTTCCTTCCAGAGATGGACAATTACATCAAAACCATCTATTACATAAGCCACATTTTCCCCCCATCAAATCCAAATTCCACCTTTATCATACACTAAGGTACACAATACTATACATATTGCGCAATGTTTATGAAAACACAAGACCAAATTATGTATTTTTATATGTTAGAGGAAAGATCTGAAACAAGACACACCAAATTAATAACAGTGTTGTCTTAGGGGGAGGAGACTTTGGGGGAAGAAGAGAAGAGACAGTCAAGGAGTCCCTATAGATAAATACTTTATAAATACGTTATAAAACTGAATTTTTTAATAAGAATATAGTTGCTATATTTACAACTTGAAATTAATTTTTAGGGGTGCCTGGGTGGCTCAGTTGGTTAAGCAACTGCCTTCGGCTCAGGTCATGATCCTGGAGTCCCAGGATCGAATCCCGCATCGGGCTCCCTGCTCAGCAGGGAGTCTGCTTCTCCCTCTGACCTTCTTCCCTCTCATGCTCTCTCTCTACCATATTCTCTCTCAATAAATAAAAATCTTTAAAAAAAATTAATTTTTAAAGAAAACAAGCTTGTTAAAATGAAGTGAGACAGAAAACAAACATACAACTTGACCCCAAATTTTCCATAAGCCACCCATACTCTAAAACACAAGTTTTCAAAATGTACCATATTTTAAGCAATCCGTAACCTCCACATCTTTATTTAATCAATAATCAATTCAAATTTTGAGCACTGACACCATTTCCCTAATATGGCATTTAAAAAATAATCCATTCTGCTCTACATAAAATCCTAGTCAGTGAAGTCACCTACATGCTCCAACTCAATTTTTTTAAAGCTTACAGAAAACTAGGAATGCCTAAAAATGATGTACCTGATTGGTTTGTTCTGGAGAGATCCTGCAAGCACTGTCAGAAGTTGAACACTGGGCAGAGGTGGAAAATGATGTCATTTTGGCAGTGAAGAAATTGCCGTCTGCTGATAAATCTAAAAGGAAAAAAAAAACATTATGAAATCTCTTCTAAAGTAGAAAATTCTCACTTTAAGATTTACAAAATAGCAGCCAGCAGAAGTAAAAAAAAAAAAGACACACGTATCAGAGTGCCCTACACAAATGCAATATATCCATATGAGGTTCTTGATACTCTTCTCATCCCTAAGTTCAAATCCTGCAAAATACTGAAGAGTTTAATAGTCAGAGCCATCTATGCTTCCCTCAGGTAAAGCCTGAAACAGAAACAGGTTCAGGCATGCTCCAACCTCCACAGTGATGATAATGAGTAAACTGTTTTAGCTGAAAACTTACAATCACTACCTCCCCAATGGGTATCAGGGTTTCAGTAACTCCTCCTCTCTTGAACAGTGCTCAAGAGCACCCCCTGGAAGACAACTGATGTAGAGTTGGGGGAATTACCAAGATTAAGTAATAGATTTAAGATTCCAAGAGCGCATCAAGAAAAACCTCTGCAACATGTTGAAACATGTCTTGGCAAGGAACTGCAGGAAAGTGAGAATCAAATTACTCAGTATCAGTTAAAGCAGCTTTTAATACCTGCCAAACCCAAAGAGTATATAGCAACTAAATACCTACAAGATGGGTTAAGCCAAGGTGGACATTTATCATCAAGGAATGATACAGCATGAAATGAAATAGACAGTAAGGTTTACTTAAAAATTTTCACCTTCTACCATCTCTCCTTTAAAAAAAAAAAAGCTTTAAGAGGGAAAATAAATTTTTAAATAAACTTGTTGAAGTTTACCGTCAAGTCTTTTCTAGTAAAAAGGTGATAAATGATCAGTGAAATTTATGACCAACAAGCCACAGCAGGGAAACGGTGAAAGGGGCCTGGAAAAACTGACAAATAGTCTGGCTAAAACTAACAAGATTCCTCAATCTTCTGAGAATACTTACTAACTGTAACAAAATACAAATTTCTCCCTCCCCCATCTGCCTCCCTTGCTACAAAATGGGAAGTCAAATAGGATACAAGCATAATTTACAATTTTAAAGCAGCTAGCTCCTAATTAGCATTTCAAACCTTATACCTAAAACACCAGTCCTGATCTTCCCAAACCTGCCAGTCCTGCAGTCTTCCCCATCTCAACAACCGGCAACGCCATCCTTCCAGTTGCTCATGTCAACGACCTTGAAGCCATCCTTGATTCCTTTTTCTTTCACATTCCACATCCAGTTCATAAATAAACCCAAAAGCTGTATCTTCAAAATATATCCAAACTCTAACCATTTCCCACCACTTCAGTTATTACTGCACTAATCCAAACCACCTACCTCTCAACTACACTACCCTCCTAAGGTTTTCTTGCTCCCACCCTTGCCCTTCGAGCTCTTAACCTCCTCCTTTTGTCTGCTCAAATGTCAGTTTACCGAGGCCTTCCATGACTACCCATTTTTAAAACTGCAACTCCCAGCCCCCAGTATTCCCTATCTCCTTCCCTGCCTTATTTTTCTTTACTGTCCTTGTTACCAACCAACATTCTATACATTTTAGTTACTTATCATGTAAAACATAAGCAGCAAGTGGCCAGGGATTTGTATTTATTCATTCATTAATAAATCCTTGGTGCCTAAACTGACAATTACATACACTGTAGAGCAACATGACGGATACAAGTATCAGTTAACAGTGTGGATGGGGGGTGCGCGGCTGGCTTAGTCGGTGGAGCATGCGACTTGATCTCAGGATTGTAAATTCAAGCCCCATGTTAGGTCTACACTTACCTAAAAATAAAATCTTAAAAAAATGAACCACATCTCCCAAGTGGCTCTGTGACGTTTATCAACAGAATACAGTGGAAGTGATAATGTGCCAATTCCAAGCCTGGCAGCTTCATTTTTTGTGCTTTTGGAGACCCCTAAAATCTGACTACTCTACTGGAGACCACATAAAAGGGCCATGTGGAGAGGATTAGTTGTCCAGTTGAGCCCAGCCTTCCAGCCATTCCCTCCAAAGCACCACATATTACAGAACATTCCAACAGCAGCGGTCAGCTGACCACAGCTGCAAGACAGACAAGAACTATCCAACTTAGCCCACAGAATCATAATAAATAAAATGGCTGTTGTTTTAACTCACTAAGTTGTTGGGTGGTTTATTACTTAGCACTAACTAGATAATCGAATGGCACAGACTTATGAAGAACTTACTCTGTACCAGGCACACATATTAACCCATTTAATACTTAAATAATCCTATGATGTAGGCAATATTATTACTATTATTTACAGTATAATTATTATTTATAGTATAATTATTAGTATAGCATAATAATTATTATTTTTACATCTAAGGCAAGAGAAGCATGGAGGTGTTATTTGCCCAAGATAATACAATTCAGTGAACTGCTAGAGTCAAGATACCAAACTCAAGAGTTCTGAAGTCCCCACCTAGTAATATTTTTTTTGCCTGTTAGACCTCAAAGTACAGAATTAATCATAATCCTTTCCTTCAACATACTCTCATTGTTTATCCACACATGGCCCATTTTTCCTTGCTTCTTCCTGATGGAATAAGCACCTGCAAAGCAGTACTCTTGACAACCTATATTCAATTCTAATATCCCCTCCCTATCCCATTCTCCTGCCTCTCCCCAACCATCATCCTTATCCTGTTTTGATTTTCTTCCCTTCCTTTTAATGCATTTTACTGCATCAAAATGGAATGCTAAAGAGTAAATATTTTGTTTAGTTGTTTTTAACTTAAAAAAAGCAGGTATAGGGGTGCATAGGTGGCTCAGTTGTTAAGCGTCTGCCTTCGGCTCAGGTTCCTGGGGTCCTGGGATAGAGCACCCCCGCATCGGGCTCCCTGCTCCTCGAGAAGCCTGCTTCTCCCTCTCCCACTCCCCCACTTGTGTTCCCTCTCTCGCTGTGTCTCTGTCAAATAAATAAATAAAATCTTTAAAAAAAAAAAAGCAGGTATAGTAATTTTAAAAGATTTTTGTTTCACTAACATTAATTCCTACCATCGTGTCACTTTATTTTCATTTTTTTATTATCATATAATGTATTATTAGTTAGAGGTAGAGGTCAGTGATTCATCAGTCTTACAAAATACCCAGTGCTCATTACATCATGTGCTCTCCTTAATGTCCATCACCCAGTTACCCCACACCCCCACCCCCTCCCCTCCAGCAATCCTGTTTGTTTCCCGTAATTAAGAGTCCTTAGTTTTTTTTATTGTAAACTAAACATAAAATTTACCATTTTTAAGTGTACGACTCAGTAACATTAAGTACATTCACAATACTGTACACTATCACCACGATCCATCTCCAGAACTTTTTCATCACCAAACTGAAACTCTGCACCCATTAAACAGTGAGCCCTCCAATGACCCCTCCCCCCAGGCCCCGGTAACCACAGAACTACTTTCTGTCTCTATGAATATGCCTATACCAGATACCGCATATAAGTGAAATTACAACATTTGTCCTTTTGTGTCTGGCTTATTTCACTTAGCATAATGTTTTCAAGATTCATCCATGTCACAGCATACTTTATTTTCCATTTATTTTGACTGTTGTATATTCCAGTGTGTGACGAACATTTGGGTCGTTTCTAGGTTTTCACCATTATGAATAGTGCTACTAGTAATATTCTTGTACATGTGCAAAAAAGAAGTGTCTCTTAGGCATATCTGTAAGATAAATTGCTGGATCATAGCATATATGAATACCCAGCTTTAGGAACTGATACCAAACTGTCTTCAAAGTGTTTGCACCAATCCACAATCCCATCAAGAATGTATAAGATATCCTGTGAATCCATCTCCTCTCCATTATCCGATCTCATGAGTCTTGCTATCCAGTAAAGCAAGTCTTCTCCCTGTTCTTTTTTAGAAGTGACCAGCTATTCTTGGCCCCCTAACTTTTTAAGTTTTCAATTTTAATTCTAGTATAGTTGACATACAGTGTTCTATTAGTTTTGGGTGTGCAGTATGATTCAACAATTCTACACATTACTCAGCGCTTATCATGGTAAGTATACTCTTTAATCCCCATCACCTATTTCACCCATCCCCCACCCACTTTCCCTCTCCTCTGGTAACCATTAGTTTGTTCTCTATGAGAGTCTGTTTTCTTAGTCGGTCTCTTCTTTTTTTCCTTTGCTCTTTGTATTGTTTCTTAAATACCACAGGAGTGAAATCATATTTGGCTTTCCTCTGACTTATTTCACTTAACATTATACTCTCTAGCTCCATCCATGTTGTCGCAAATGGCAAGATTTCCCTTTTTTTATAGCTGAATAATATTCCAATATATTGTGCATATATACCAATCTTCTTTATCCATTTATCTATCGATAGACACTTGGGCTGCTTCCATAGTTTGGCTAGTGTAAATAATGCTGCAATGAACATAGGGATGCATGTATCCCTTTGAGTTAGTGTTTTGTATTTTGGGGGTAAATAGTAGTGCAATTCCTGGATCATAGGGTAATTCTATTTATAACTTTTTGAGGAACCACCATACCATCTGCCACAGTGGCTGCACCAGTTTGCATTCCCGGCCCCTTATATCTCTTCCATATAAATGTTATTATCTTTATCAAGTTCCATAAAAATCCCTCTTGGGATTTTGAATGAAATTACACTTTATATACAGATCAAATTGTTTTCTAATCATTAGCATCATATATTTCCCTATTTATTAAAGACTTAATTTCTTTTAGTAAAATTTTGTAATTTTCTCTTTAGAGATTTAACACATTTGTGTTGGAATAATCTCTAAAGTTGATATTCTAATACTATTGCGATGCCTTCTCATTATAATTTTTAGTTTTTGCATATATACAGAAATACAAATGACTTTCATTAATCTTCTATCCAGTCACCTAAATTTACATTATTTCTAATAATCTGTCTGTATATGCTTGTTTTCTATGTAAATGGTTATATCATCAGCAGATAAAATCTTATTCCCTCCTTTCCAATTCTTATGCTAATTTCTTGTCTTACTTTACTGCTTAG